GGTTATTTGTTCTTCGAGCTATATGGACGGCCCATTGCCACTTCAGCTTACTAATCCGTTGGGCTATGCCGGTCACTCTGGTTTTACTGCGGATATCCTCATTTCTGAGTCTATCACACAGAGAAACTCCGAGCATAGCCCTCTCCATAGATCGCTGAGCGACCTTGCGCTGTTTGGTTTGTTTTAATTAATATATTAACATTAAATAATAATTATTGGGCTTGTTTATTTTGCCTTCACACGCTATAAATGTCATTTTATAAATGTCACTGAAATATAATATAAAAATTTTAAAAGAAAATTATCTATATAGTCAAATATTATATCAACTTTACAAATCAAGATTAAGATAACATTATCGGTAAATCGCACGTAACCTTAACGACTTGTGAGTTTCACACCTTCGGTGACGTGTTCCGTGCGTGCTTCATATTAAGATGATTATTTTAATAGCGTGCATAAACTTGTAAATAATATGGAAATGTCCGTAATTCGTGGTACGTATATTGCTTTAAATTTAATTAAACAATAAGTATGACTTTCGCCTAGCAAGGCTGTAGTCACGCTGCAGCTGTATTATGGCTGCAGCGCGAATGTGTCTACTTGAACGGAGAAGGACTGTGCTCTTCCAGCTTACCAGCTTAAATTAGCAGCATAATGCTTATGCGTTTCTTATGGTGAGTGTAAGAATGCAGTAACACTTTTTTACGAGTAACGACGCATTTCTTATTTCTTATGGGTGATAACGCATCTTCATTTAAATTCGTTATCGACAATAGTACTATTATTTCGAAGTATAGTTAGTAGTATTATTTCATTAATTTAATTCTTTTAACTGAAACCCAAAACAACTAAAAAAAGGAATCACTGAATTCGACTACCCTCCTCTGCCCGAGATTTGAACCGATAATGGTAGTTTATGAAAGTAGTAATAACATATTGTAACGATTGAGTGTTAATAAATTCCGTTTGGTGATGTTTAAAAGGACTGCCGTTTACTATCACCATGTATTACACCAACTTACTAAGTATGAAAATCTTCTTAAAAATGTTATTGTCAATGTTAATCGTGAACTTTGTCTGAGTGTCTGAGAATTAATACGTACATATTTTCTTTAAAAAAGTAACATCCGAGTTTTTAGTGTTTAAAAACCTTTTTCAACATAGATTTAAATGTGACTTGATCGAAAGTGCAACTCTTTTTTTTTTAATTAAATAATATTTATTATTTATTTAAAAAAAACGTTGCACTAGGATTTTCTCCTGTATTGTGAAGGCAGTTTACAAACATAAATTGCACAAGGGCAAACTTCCACACGAGGAGCAATTATTTTCGTCCATACAAATACTTGTTCCTCGTTTGTTGTTATTTATAGACCATACAAATACTTGTTCCGTGCGGGATTCAAATCCGTGACTCCCAGTATTGCAACTCATTGCTAAGCCAATGTGCTATGGAGTCGTCAATTTAAGTTACTATAATTTGCTTTAACTTGTAAATTTTTATTGTGTACATACAAAATGTATTAAGAACTCAACCACAGCACCTGATGGGTCCAGATTTGTGAATTAGTTTTTGGCACTAAATCAAAATATTTTTTTTTTGTAGATAGCTTTAAAAATATTATTATCAATAAGTAATAGAAAACAGGTTCAGTAATATAAGAGTATAATGTGTATTTCGAACCCGAGGAGTCCAGCATCCACAAACAAATATTTCAGCACAATAGTAGGATTTGCCTAATTAAATCATTTATTTGAATACCGTCGCTTAAAGTCGGTTAAGAGGCCTTCAACATTACGTTTCTTTACATGTTCTGTAAGATTAAATAAGTCACTGTATGTCGGAGATTTATTTGTAAAATTATTGACGAAGAATAAATCATTTTAGTTAACTGAAAGTTCGTGCTAATGTTAAATATTGACATTGAGTTCACCAAACAAGGTACCTTCTTAACATATCGTGCATGGGTATGTTTTCCAAGGACTGTATTGAGTGGTAGGACTTCTTTGCTGCGTAGTTGCCTACCTTGGCAGGTCCTTCCCTCTTACATATCTCAGCCGCCAAGCAGTAACTCACCCAGTACCTACTTCAGTGATAAGAGAGCCAGTATAGTAACAGGCTGTATGAAATCAAACCTTATTACTTCACGACGCACTTTTTGACTTTTTGTTTCAAGTTGGCTACTTTGTAGCCACTTTCCAACAGAAGCACTGTTTATATGATGTTGGTGTATTGAATAAGGCATTGAATAAAACATTTTTTTTTACGGATTTTATAGCCTTTAATTTTAAAATTAATATAAACATCGCGATAAAAGCATAGCTTTTTATAATGTTTAGTATTCACGTAAACATGAAAATTTATTACAATTTAGGTAAATAATTCCAAAAAAAAAACAGTTTTTTTGAAGGCAAAATTACTTATATTTCAAATTATTTTTAATATTCTACACAAAGTAATGCATGTTATTTTGTGATTCAGCTTACCTATTGAAATTAAAATATTTTATCCATATTAATAACAAGGAAACACTTCTAACTTTATAAACAAATTGTTTGTACGTATGTTATCTCAGCAACCGTGAGTAGCTTAAGCAATTTGTAATATCATAAGGACGTACATTTAGATATGACCTTGAACGGGCGCTGTTAGAGTAAACATGAGTGATTAGCTTTTTTTTTCTTTAGTCAAGTTACAAGAGAGTGTCTATTATGTTAAGCGTGTATTGTAGCGACGGATATATTAATTTTTGAACTGAAAACAGTTAAGTTATTTTGAGTTTTTGTTTGGGTTTCGATCTGGCTGAAAATATGCGTGTATTTCCAATTATGATTAATTGTTCTAATAAAATTTAGTCTCTGGCTTATAATGCGTGTAATTTACCGCATCATTTAAGGATAAAAGATTAATTCAGTGTTAAAGTTTATAACATTGTGTGAATTATATCTAACATAAGTTGAAAGTTAAGTGTGGCAAATTGATAATATATAAATACTTTAAAATGTGCACGAAAAGTGTTTTAACGTTATTCAGTAAAGGCAAGTTGCTTCTGCCACTTGCACCTAGTTTTTAATATCTGTTTAATATTACAAAGTAATAATTATATACACTAATATACTAATTATTAATTACTAATAATAATATAAAGATAGAGTGCGAATTTTGTGAGTTTGTATATATGTGGAGAGCAATTTACGGAACCACTGCACCTAATTGAAAATTTCTTTCACCATTTGAAAGTTAAATTATTCCAAATATTATGGCTAAAAGTTACGATGAAATTTGTTTTTGATGATAACCGGAAAAAGTCGTGTCTTCCACAGCGTGCGCTGCACCATTAGTTAAAGTTTTATCAAAATAATGTAAAGCTGAATTATTCCGCTTAGAAGTTCTACAAAAATTCGGCGACAGCATATGTCTATCTTCTAAGGATAACTCACAATAACCATTTTATATAAAACTGTAGTATGATATTATATAATTATGATGGTGGTCGGCGTGGCAATGACGGAAGGGCGGCGATATGCGGAGGGGGAGATAACGTGACAAAGTCAGCAAAACACGTGAGGGCAGACGTCGTTGACGGTCATTTTAAATTCGAAAATTTGCATTTTTAGTGAGGCCTATTAAATAATTAGAATTTATAGCCTAAATGTTTGTCTTTAGTTTAAGCGGACTGATTTTTTTTAGTTAGGAGTACAAAATAAAATTGCCAATATAACTGTTGGATATTTGTTGTACTTATTAAGCTTAGTTATTTAATTAGTTTTAGCCGACCGTATAAAACTAAATGGTTATCAAACTTGGGGTAAAAATTAAGACTGCGTTTAAATTTACTAATTACTTAATTAATTTTAACTAAGTACCTACCTTTCTGAAACTATATAAAAAACTATATAACTATACTTTTTATTCTATATAAAAAAAATTAATACAGACGCGTAGGTCTAAAGGTTCCTCGAAACGAAATCCAACATGTCTAGAAAAAATCTTAACTCTCTTGGAAAAATATAATCCATGGCCCATGCGGAAAACGTAAGATGAATTTTCTCAGCATGACCAATAAAATTTGCAGTAAGAAATATCCACGGAAACTCATAGCAGAGACGGAAGCACAACGGACGGAAACAAGGGTAGAAGGTTATCCAATTTATGGTTGTAGAAACCCTGAAGATGGTGGCAATAGAGTGACATTGAGAGTTAGAAAAGAAGAGGTAACTGTTATATATGGGTAGTTTCATATTCCCCTGTACTGTACATATGCACATATCGATGTCGAATATTGTCAAACACTATAAGCAATTAAATATATTTGCAAATATATTAACAAATGGTCAGACCAGACCAATGTGTCTGTTTAAAACAAACAAAGTGAGATCGAAACTTATTTAAATGGTCGTTATATTAGCACATCGAAAGATGTTTGGAGAATCCTTGAGTTTCACATTCGTGAGAGGCATCCAAAAGTAACCCATTCAGCGGTGCATCTAGAAATCGGCTAGAGAGTGTATTTAATAGAAAACAATCTCTAGCAAAGAATTGAAAGCCCCCCTGCAACAACACTTACGTCATTTTTTGATGTATGTAGCACAGATTTTGCGAATTTTTTATACCACGAAATTCCTCAGTACTACACGTGGGTAAAAAACAAGATTTTACAAAAAATACGAGGACAATAGGTCGAAGAGCATCCCAGGATTAAGAAATACTCTGCTCTTGGTAGAATGTACAGTACTCATTCTTGCTAATCTGAATGCTTCCATTTAAGGATTCATTTACAATATGTTTGCTCGGCTTTATTGACGACGACGAACATTGGACTCATACCTTAGCTGATGCTGTACTTTCAGATTCGGCTCATAAACTAAGAAATTATTTCTGACAATTTTATTATTTTGTCAACCTTCAGATCCCATTTATTTGTGGCAAGCAGTTAAAAAAAAATCTCTGTGAAGACCTATTACACAGAGAGCTACAGCGGAATAACGACGACGGTATGCCATTACCAAATGATATAGGTAATTAAATCAAAGACTAATTCAAATAAAAGACAAAATTTCTCTTCAAAATTTTTCTGACCAATCTTTTAAGTGAAAAGACATTAGGAAACTTAGGCTTACCAAAACCGCATAGAACCAATGAAAGTGATTCTGTAAGAATAACATTAGTACATGATTTTGACGAATTGAATGAGTGCGTTTGTTTTCACATACCGAATTTAGTACCGATCAGCGACACACTTACGCCACCATAATAAATAGCATTGAAAAAAAGAAAGCAAATCATTTTTTTTTTCGATGTACTCGGTGCAACTGGAAAAACTTACCTAATAAATTTAATACTAGCCAAAATTCGATCACCAGGCAAACTGGCTCTTGGGGTAGCTTCTTCCGGTATAGCCACAAGTTTACTTAGTAGTGGGAAAACTGCCCATTCCACATTTAAACTGCCTTTGAATCCCTCCAGAAAAAAATCCGATGGCCGATTCTTCAAGATGTCTGTCTCATAATGTGGGACGATTATACGATGTGCCACCGCTCACATACAGAAGCTGTAGACAGAACTCTTAAAGGCCTAAGAAGTTCAGATAAAATTATGGGAGTCGTCACCTTCGTGTTTGCCGGTGTCTTTCGTGAAACTATTCCTATTGTGCTAGTGTGTATACTTAAAGCCTGCTTAAATGCGTCTCTTTTACGAAGTCCGTACAATTAATCATCTTAAGAACAAACATGAGAGCCCACTTAGAAGGGGGTAATATGCACTTCGCTAGTTTTCTATTACAAGTAGGTGATGGGAAAATAACCTGAAGATGACCTTATTAAAATACATGAGTTATGAAAGTTTATCTCTAGTCTCGATAATTTGATTCCAAACGTTTACCCAACAAATAAGAATATTTCTCAAAAAGATTACTCATGGATGTGCGGGAGGGCAATAGTTTTCTGTTCCATCAATATCAATGAACAGATATTAGAAATAATACCAGGTAATCAAAAATACAGTATTAAATATATAATACTCTGTGCATTACCTACATGCATTCCTTAGCTCCCTTAACACTTCAGCACTTCCACCTCATAACCTAAAAATTAAAGTCTGTATTTCAATAGTTGTGTTGCGAAACCTAAAACCACCTAATTTGTGCATTGGAACTAGATTTCAAGTGAAATCGCTACGTGATAATGTCATTGGGAGTATTATTCTTACAGGAACAGGCAGGCAGGTCAGTTGTCTAATATTTCCCGCATTCCCATTTTCCCTAGAAATTTACCTTTCCAATTTAAGCGATTATAGTTTCCAATAGAATTTTTTTTCGCAACCACATTCAACGAATCCCAAGGCCAACCATACAAATATATTGGGCTTACGAGAAGATAATTTTACTCACGTACAATTATATGTTAGTCTCTATAGGCCAGGAAATACGGATAATTAATTTATATCAAACCCGCAGAAAAATGGAACACAAATGTGGTATATAAAGAAGTATTAAAATAAATTATAACTCCTGTGCTTAATCTGAAATATATTATACTTGAGCGGACTGCTAGTATTTTATAATAGGAGATGAATGAGACATACGAGAGCACAGTCCATCTGATGGTAAGGTGACACTATGGCCCATATACACCTACCATCTATTCTTATTCTATTAAGAATCAAAATTTAGATGCGTTGTTATTCCTGAGAACTAAGAAAGAATACCTTATTATCTGTGAAAAGGGTCCCCGTACCCACCATAGGAAAAACACGGAAGCACTATGCTGCTACTTAACTGTAGTATTCTGTGTGAGTGACATCCTGCTGCAACGTGATTCAAACACGTTAAAACAAAAGTCGAAAAAAATTACAGTAGAGCAAAATATTTTTATTTATCATATAAATTTATTTTTTTATATTAATTCTCCTTTTTACCTTGTATTATATTTTACTAGGATTTCGTATGGGTACTATCACCGAATAGCAGCGTATGAACTGCTGTGTTTCGGTCTGAAGGAGACACGAGGGTCAGCGAGTCATATTTACAGACTGCAAGGTTTTCTTAGTCTACGGAGATGACAATACATACACATTACGTTGTCTCATAGCAATGAAAATTTAAACGAGATTGAGTCCACTTATTATGAAATATTACAAAAAATCACAATTGGTCAATGTAATTACCAAAAAAAACTTCTCAGAATGTTTTTTTTTTTTTTGGTATTTTAGTATACTAGTTGTAGATAATCTATATGAAAACGTTTCATTTTTTGTTTATAATTATATTTTCATAGTTTCGACGGAGACAGGAAGTAAAGTGAGTAGTTAGCTAAGTAAAAAAGTATATTTAAAATGTTAGAATTCAGAAAGAACGATGCATTTATTACATTGATATGATTATATTATATATTATGAATCTAGATGCATTTGACGGAAAAATATAAAAATTTTGGATCAGTTTTGGACAGTTGGATCTTTCTGGCAGACAGATCTCTTGCAAAGACCTTTGGAGCCCTTTTTGGAGCGCTCGATCACTTCTTCCATACGAGCTGTGTTGAAGTTGCGAAGTCTCACCGCATGCTTTTGGAGATATGTCTGTTCAGGTACCTGTATGCTGTCAAATATTCTGAAAACTGCAGTTTCATCTCCTGTCTAACAGCCACGCGTGTGATCGGAAAGTTTTAGTGTTCTTCTGCGGTCGTTTGTGGACCTGTGATAAAAGTATAAATGACTTTCAGTAACTTTGAAGGCTCTGTGGCGCAGTGATTTAGCAATGTATTGCAGCGATAAGGGCCGCAAGTTCGAATCCAGCACGGAACGTATATTTGCGCAGCCTACTATTAATAATTGTTCTGGGTCTGGATGTTTACCGTTGTGAAATTTATGTATGTATAAGTAAATAAATTTAAGTACTGTCGCCATAATATAGTAGAAAACCTGGACGTTTACTGTAGAGATAATGTTTAAAAAAGTGTATTGAATAAATGTTATTCTATTCTATTCATGACAATACTTTTCAGATGAAGAGGAAGGTTATCCCGAAGAACGGGATAATCTGCAGCCATTGTTAAGCATTAACAATTTTCATGGCGAGAGTAGCCGACCGCAGCCGGACAGGCCTCAGCAGTTAGGTGCCCCAAATAAAATGTAAGACTTTACTTTCAGGAATTAATTTAACTACATAATCTACCAGGTGTAAAGAATCATTTTCTTTCTTGAAGTCCCTCTGGGTAGGTACCACACTATTACTTAATTCTACCGTCAAATAGCAGAACTGAACATGATTCAACATCATCATTACAACCTTTCACAAGTCCACTGCCGAACATAGGCCTCCCTCAAGTAATGCCACAAAGCACGGTCCTGAGCCACCTGAATCCATCGACATCCTGCATGTCTTATCAGGTCGTCACTCCATCTAGTGGGGGGGTCGCCCTACACACGCCTACCAGTACGAGGCTGCTCCTCGAGAACCTTTTTTCCCCATCGGTATTGGTTCTTCGAGCTATATGACCGGCCCATTGCCACTTCAGCTTACTAATCCGTTGGGCTATGTTGATTACTCTGGTTCGACTGCGGATATCCTCATTTCTAAGTATATCACGCAGAGAAACCCAGAGTATAGCCCTCTCCATCGCTCGCTGAGAGACCTTGAGCGTCCTCATACGGCCAACAGTGAAGGACATATACCCTCCATGAACAATTACACAAATAGACGACGGGTAAAGAGACGGAAAAACTCAATAACTGATGTTTTTGGTTCGAACCGGGATACGAACCCTTATGATCAGCAGACACGTTTACCTCCGCTAGACTAACAAGGCAGTCATGAAATACTATAGCTACTTACCATAAGGTTGACTGTAAGTTCATTAGTTACTTCAGTTATATAAATAATCAAAACCACTAACCTTTAACATCATCATCATCATTACATCCCATCACAAGTCTACTGCAAGGAAGCCTATGTTTAATATATAGGCTTCCTCCAAGAACTTTTTACTTTTAACGAGGCTTTCCATCTTAATCCTCACGGATGACAACGCATCTGCATCTTGGTTCATAATCGAGGATAGATGTGGATGTGTACGAGCCACAGCACCACTGACCGTCAGCTCTGTGTGCTCGTGTGTGACAGTTGTTTTTTTATTTATTATTATCCAGTGCTAGCCTACTGTCGCACCTAATGTTAAGTGATGATGTTGTTGAAAATGGTAAATAGCATAGCATAAACATAGCATAAACACTCACGCCTGTCACCCAGCGGAGTAGGCAGAGACCACGGACTTCCATTTGACACGATCTTGACATACCTCTTTCGCCTCCTTTACATCCATATATCTATGCATACATGCTCGTCGGTTAAGGGTACTTTTAACGTGGCCCATTTTCAAAATATCGCCAATTTGGTCGATAAACTTTTTTCTAGGGCGTCCCTTCCCGACTCTGCCGTTCACATATGCCATATAAATTTGCTTTGTCACTCTTTCCTCATTCATTTTTTCTACATGACCAAACCACCGAAGCATTCCTTTCTTAATCCTGGTTACAACATCATCTTGCATACCACATTTATCTCTTATCACGCAATTTCTCACACTGTCATTCAGATTCAAACCTAGCATACTCCTTAAAGATCGCATTTCTACAGCATTTATATTACTTTCGTGCTTCTTCTGCCACACCCAGCTTTCACTATCATACATTAAAGTAGGGACTAACACAGCATTACGAATTACCATACGTGCCTTTTTTGATACATTCTGGTTCTTCACAATAGAGTGTAGTGCCCCATTCACTCTATTCCCTGCATTTACTCGTCATTCTATATCCTTATCATATCTACCATCCCAGCTAAATACACATCCTAAATACACAAACTCATCCACATGTTAAATTAACTCTCAAAAATAAATAGCATTAACTTTTAATTTAATTTAACAACAAAGCTCGTTCCCATTTCAGCTAACTGAACCGTTGGGCTATCCGTTGGGCTATGTCCATTACTCTGGTTCTACCACGGATGGCCTCTGAACCTCCAACCATAGCCTGCTCCATAACTCGCTGAGCCACCATAAACTTCCTCACACAACCAGTAGTACAGTCCATGTTCCACCGTAACACCCACTGACTGTATGCGCTTGCTTTCTTTTCACGATTTAACTTAACTATTTCTGCCGTCTTTGGCAGACGGATTAACAATCAATAAAAAATAATGCTGATAAGATGTACTGACCTATTTTTAAAGTCCTAATAGGGTTACTTATTTTAGTTTCTTTTTAATTATAGAACAAGGATGACAAAGAAGCACACAGTCCATTTGATGGTGAATGTATGATAAAAATCATGACTTCTACATATATTCACAATAAAGAATCAAAATTTAAATGCATTGTTAAACCTGAGGACTACAATAGATTTCCTCGTACCCGCTGGTGTTGGTAGTGAGAAAATGATCGCACCTTGTTAGCTCTTTTTTAATTTTTACAATAATTTGTGTATATGTAAATTGTTAACTTTACATCTTTTTTAATTTTTTTTAAGTGTTTTTAAAGTTATTAACATATAATTACACAATTAAATAAACGTAACAAATGAAATACATTATAATCTTTACAGGGCGCATTCGTCTAGTTCAAATATACCGCCGTTAAATTTTTATGATCAATCACCTTCGGTAGCGTCTACACCAGACGTGACACCAGTTGCTGATAATGAGGACTTATGGCCAAAGAAGTGGAGACGCAGTGACCGCCGCCTAAAAAGACTTAATACTGAACTTCTAGAAGCAATCGAACATCATGACATAGAAGAGGTAGAGAGGTAAGTGTTTGCAAACTTAGTAAAAGACTCTTCTACAGTTAAAATAAATAAAATGGAACGTGGTAAAATCCGTAAACGTTAAGATATCGCTATAAAGACCGTTCTATTTCAGTATTTACAAAGTAACTTACAATCCACCCGGTGGCTAGAAGCTAATACAAGCTATAACCCATAGAATTGTACATTCTACATCCGACTTCACACAAAGAAAGCTCCGTTTACCAAGATTGAGTCCTTCACTGCCTGTGATTATACTGGATAATATACATTTCGAACGGGAAACTGTTGCGTGGCGTCGTAAATAGATATAAAGAAGGACTTTTCCTATTCAGAGGGACTTCTAGACAGAAAAGTACACTACCTGGTAAAATACTTTTTCAAATCGCCTATCGGGAACAAGAATGGGTTACTCGTATATTGGACATGCATCGTCTAAAATCTCATGGTTCTCCTTCGCCTCATATCGGCAGAGCTCCGGAAGCACTGGTGCATACATGCGCAGTCTCACCAGCACGGCTACACCACGTTAAATTGCCAGCTGTTGGCTTGTGTAAACATAGGAAGCCCTTTATTCACCAATATAAAAGATGATGATAATATAGAAGAATAGTACAAGCTCAGTGTTTAAAATAGTAGTTAAAACCTAACTGTGTAATCGTAAAAAGTTGTGCGTTAAAAATTTATTTTCCAAAAATTTGCGTAATAATTTTTTACTCTATGACACTTAGGCAACAAAGACGAATGTAACGACACCCATATAATAAAATCCAAAAAGCTGTAGTGTGTGCCAAAAAAAAGACACAAATGTACATACATACGCCCGAAAAACCTTAACCTTCCCCTTCTTTTATGGCAGCCCGGAAAAATAATTTAAAGATATTATTAAAAATTTAACAATAATTAAATATTTCGTTTCATTTGCACTGTGCAAGTGTCTCGTATCAAAATTGGCAACCCGAACTATTAACGTTACCTATCATATATTTATCATAGTTCCAGGCTTCGCAGACGATTTGGCAGCCGCAGTTATTTTATTATTTTGTAAGTTGTTATTAAAAAGACGCTTTTGCCCTGCTTTTAAATCACGGCTATATCCCATAGAGTTAGAGGTAGAGGATATTCTTACCCACCACAACATAGTTAGCGATACCGTTCATTATCATCATCATTACAACACTTCACAAGTTCACTGCTGAACATAGGCCTTCCTCAAGTAAAACCACAAAGCACGGTCCTGAGCCACCTGCATCCATCGACTTCCTGCACGTCTAACCAGGTCGTCACCCCATCTAGTATGGAGTCGCCCTACACTACGCCTACCGGTACGAGGCTGTTACTCGAGAAACTTTTTCCCCATCGGTTGTCGGTTCTTCGAGTTATATGGCCGGCCCATTGCCACTTCGGCTTAGTAATCCGTTGAGCTATGTCTGTCACTTTGGTTCTACTGCGAATATCCTCATTTTTAAGTTTATCACGCAGAGAAACCCTGAGAATAGCCCTCTCCATAGCTCTGAGCACTGAGCGACCTTAAGCGTCCTCACTTTGCCAGCAGTAAAAGGACCACGTCTTATATCTGTAAGTCATCACTGGCAATATGCACTGGTTGTACAACTTAGTTTTCGGATTTTTAGGTATATCTGACGAGAAGATTTGTCGTAATTTCCTGAACTCTGCCCAGCTGAGTTGAATCCGTCGATTGACCTCTTAGTAGCAGTTAAACTTACCTAGTCGGACGATTTGTCCCAGGTAAAACTCGTCAACAACTTCGAGCATAGTACTCCCAACAACTACCCGCATAGGTGTGACACGGAAATTAAACATGATCTTTGTTTTTTCCATATTAATCTTAAGATCTATCCGTTGGAAGACACCATTTAGATGATGGAGCATAAGGACTATATCGTCGGTAAATCGAAGAGGAGTGATACACTCCATTGATGTTAATACAGTCCAGTAGCTTGATAACGTCTTCCAATGCAGCGGTGAAGAGTTCGTTGATATAACGTGACCCTGTCTTACACCTCCCTACAGTTAGATAGGTTTCGAACTCTGGTTCTGTACTCGGATAGCCATCATAGCCCTACTGTATAAACACTTCAGCCCTTGGATATACCGACAGTCAATTTGGCACCGCTGAAGGGACTGTAGCACCACCCAAATTTCGACGGACTCAAAGGCTCTCTCATAGTCCACATATGCCAGGCAAAGTGGCAGATTGTACTCTTCGGTCTTCTGTACAATCTGCCGCAGGGTATGTTTGTGGTCTATGGTACTGAAGCCTTTTCGGAAACCAGCTTGTACGAGAGGCTGGAAGTCGTCGAGTCTGCGTGCGCGAAGATTCGTAATGACTCTCGTAAAACAGCACGTAGACGCGGCTCAGAAGGGTAGCTTTGTCGCCTTTCTTGAAGAACAAGACCACCGCACTTCTGCTCCACGCCTCCGGAGTAGTGCAACTATGCAGGACAGAATTAAGAGCTTCTAAAGGACTTTAAGTAGCGGTGTTCCACCCGCTTTCAGAAGCTCCGCTGTAATTCCATCCTCGCCTGGGGCCCTGCCGTTTAAGGTAATGGAGAGCCATCCTAATCTCGCTCAGACTGACATCCGGGATATCATCGGAATAGTGTCGGATAAGACTTGCTCTCGGATCGTTACTCACACTTGCGTGCGTGTTTACACCAGCCAACAGTTGGTAATTTAACGTGGTGTAGCCGTGCTGGTGAGACTGCGCATGTATGCACCAGTTCTTCCGGCTACGATCGGAACTTTGATAGCGCGATTTAGGCATCGGTATATTTCGCTTGTGGCACGGCGGCAGCGCCACCACATTGTAAAATCATTAAATACGATTTTAATAATTTCACATAGCTGTGCAGTGTCAAAAATGAGTGTAGACTCTTCGAGTTGAAGAGAAAAAAACCTGTACTTTTAATATCACTCTGCAAATCTGATTTCATATCAGTAGCGATTACTTCGATTCTTTTCGACATTGTTCTGGATGACAATGGAATCGTTTTAATAGCCGCAATAATTTTATTTTTGGTTTTAAAATTCTAAATGACAGAATCAGTAGCTGTAAAGAAGGCTTCGTTTATTATTTTCTCATCTACAAAAGGCTTTTTCTTCTAAGCCAACAAATGAGAAACTTTTAAGATGCAATAGCAGCACTTTTCGAAAGTTGAACTGGCCTGGTTTAAACACTTTGTTGTTTTATTAGATTTGTTTTTATTTCGCAGACAGGTTTCTTTCAAATTTCAGTATTTGGTGGAAAACAACTGTTACACGACGCATGCAGATTATAGTAGGTACTGCTAGACTATGTGCTACATGATAAACAAATACTTTTTCCGCTAAACTCAATCAAAAAGAACTGTTTTTCCCGCTCTTTATTAAAATCGTAAGTCCTTGGTCTTTTCCTCATGCTAAAAATACAATATAGCAATTTAGGTCTACAAATATGTAGCTAAAAATAACAACACAAAAATGTGACTAATTAACTCTGAGTATTGCAGCACACTGTTGTGGGCACTTGCGCCCTCCTTTCTGCCTTGCGCCCTCCTTTCTGCCAAGGAGGGTCGCGTTCGTATACGGCTTAGAGATCTCTAGTTAGACCGTTAAGCCAGTCCCTAAAAGGCGGTGTTTAGTGCGTAAAAGTCTCCACATAACCATGCAGCCGGCTGCGTGGTATGCTATGAGCATTCACCGCCTCCCTCCCCCGCTTTCCTGAGGGTTGCCCATATTTGCTTCGGGCGCAAAAAAAAAGCGCACTGTTTCACTCGGGTGGATGGGATGGGAGCAAGCCGGGGAAAGGCTTGGTTTGGTTATATTATATTTTGCACACTTTATTATGCCGTGCCGTTACAAAGGGCTTGCCGACTTGTGCTGAAAGACGAAAGTTGGCTCATTCAAAGAAACGACTCGATTTTATGAGGGCGTATTAAAAAGACCGTCGCGGTGGCACGTGTGTCCGGACGATGTATACGGAGGTATACGGTGTATGGACGATGCATGTTGATACTTTCACTGCCGATTTTTAGACACAATAGTAAGACAATGGCAATAAACTATATCTAGTATACGAGACAGCGAATGGGTTATTTATTGGTTGAAATATATTGTATGAAACAGACAACAACCCTATACGGTTTATAAGAACCTTTAAAAACAAAAGCTTTTACTTTCAGATTGCTGAAAAGTGGTGCCAACCCGAACGCAACATGTCGCTTGGATCTAGTTTCTGCATGTCATCTAGCTGCACTGACCGGTGGAGATGCCTTGAGTTTGCTACTAAAGTTCGGAGCCGAGAAACACCGGCTTGACAGACTCGGACGGACACCTTTACATCTTGCTGCGTTCGCTGGCAATGCAAGACAGGTGGCCATTTTACTGGACTTACCTGAAGGTATGTTTTTATAGTATAAAAGGTGACAATCGAGCACACAATTCACCCAGTTCTTTATATTTCGTATAACTGGAAAACAAGGCATTCGGTCTTATTCTTAGGCGTAGTTCTTGCTTTCTTAATTCTTATTCTAGGAGAGACGTAGTCGCCCATTATATACTAATGTAATGTATTCTGTGCTCGTTTCTCAAACTTATAAAACCAAAAAAATAATTAAACAGGCCAACACCAGGCATTTTAACATTTGCAATAAACTTTAAAATCCATATTACATGTAAATAAAATAATAAATACAGAGTTTGAAAAATATATGTTTCAGTTTTAAAGAACTAGCGTGTAATAGCATTCACGCACCATCAAATGGACTGTGTGCTCGTTTGTCAACATTTATAAATAAAAAATTATTCGAAATAACCTTAATTTACACTAATGTTATCTTAAAAGATTAATTAATAAAAAAGTGTTTTTTTTTTTAAGTTTATCTCAATCTTATTAGGGAAGAGACCCTTTTTTACTGGAAACGAGGCATTCTATCTTAGTCCTCAGTGGTGACAGTGCATCTGCGTTTTGATTCTTAATCGAGGATAAGTGTAGATGTATGCTATGGGTCACAGCATCCACTTACCGTCAAGTGACTGTGTGCTCGTTTGTCACCATTATTCTATAAAAAAAAATCAAAATAAATTATAATTGTCATAAGAACGTACGTTATTGTCAAAACTTCCTGTTTGAAGTGACAGTTTGTTAAGACTTCTTAATATTACTTTAAAGAGTTTCAATATTAATCAAATATGGAATAGACGCTATGCTCTCTATCAATAAAAACTTTTTGGTACAATTATTTATTCCGTTAATGTACAATTATATATAGTAATAAAGTTATTTTATTACAATTTAAAAAAACTAACAAACTAAACTTGTTTTCAATTAACGGCATTTAAAAAGAAAATAAAATTAAAAATATAAGTTTTAATATCAACTTATTAATTAAATATAATAAATATAAATAAAAGTTTAAATATTTATTAATATAAAAGTATGTTTGTTTGCATGTTTGTCATTCAATCATGGACGCTTAAAATTTGGCATTGGAAACTTTTTATAACAATTATTACTATAGTTAAAATTACGCGCAACAAAGCGATAGGGTATCAGCTGGTTACGAAAGTTTTGGTAATTAATTGAGAAAACATGTATTCATCAAAATATCTACATTAAATACTTAAAGAACTTAACAAAATATTATAAAATGGTATTGAAAGTTTTTAAGATTAATTAATTATTTTCGTTAATAGGCTGAGAGTGTTTTGGTTTTATACCTATATATATTCTTGATCTTGATAAGAATATATGTGGTTGTAGCGATCCGCTCTGCTTCACAAGCGTCATTTCTGGATCTCGACTACAGCAGATCCAAATGTGTATAAACCATCTAGAGATTCATTCAAACACACACAACAAAACATCAAAATGGGTTGGATGGTATCAAAAAATCAATTAAATTTTAAATATGATATTATATACAATAGAATACAAAAACAGTATAATTAGTATGACGGACATAGGTAGAATTTTTATTTTATTTTATAGAGGTAGATAGACATAATACATATAATACATAAATAATCACGCCTGTCACCCAGATGGGTAGGCAGAGACTACGGACTTCCAGTTGGCACGATCCTGACATACCTCTTTCGCCTTTGGTCAACGAACCTTCCTCTAGGGTGTCCCTTCTCGACTCTGCCGTTCACATCTGCAATATAAATTTGCTTTGTCACTATTTCCTCGTTCATTTTTTCTACATGACCAAACCAATGAAGCATTCCTTTCTTAATTCTGGTCACAACATCATCTTGCACACCACATTTTTTTCTTATCACGCAATTTCTCACCCCGTCATTCAGATTCAGCCCTAGTATACTCCTTAAAGACCGCATTTCTACAGCATTTATTCTACTTTCGTGCTTTTTCTGCCATACCCAACTTTCACTACCATACATTAAAGTAGGGACAACACAGCATTATTAATTACCATACGTGCCTTTTTTGACACATTCTGATTCTTCGTAATAGAATGTAGAGCCCCATCCACTCTATTTCCTGCATTAACTCGTCGTTCTATATCGTTATCATAGTAGATATGATAAACGTCCCTGCTAAATACACATCCCAAATACACGAACTCATCCACTTGCTCAATCGACTTCCCTTGTATTCTTATTTTACATACCTAACGTTTTACTTTCTATTCTTGCGAAAACCATCACTTTCGTCTTACTTGCGTTCACTTTCATTCCCCTTTCTTTTAATGACCAGTTTATTAATGTAACCATCATTTGTAACTCGGCCGCCGACGACGCAAATATAACTTGATCATCTGCGTATAAGAGGCATTTGACGGTTAAGGTGAAGTGGACGCCAAAAGCAGATTTTCAAACTTTATAGGTGCGCAGAATATCAATTTTTTGTCATAAAAACTACGAATTCACATTTTTTTATTCATTATGAAATTTAAAGATTTTTATTAGTCAATTATGGCGGCAAAAACATGATAGACACATTTTGGCTCGATAGAAAATATCACAAAGATTCCTCAAAATCTACAATTTTAGGTACGTCCACTAAGTGAAAAAGCAGTTTCATTTGAATGTAATGAAATTAATTTCACTTAAATTTAGTATATATGTTCACCAGTAAATATGTGAGTGAACTATGGGTTTATTTTTCAATAAAAGAGTGTATATCATTTTTAAAATAAATATCAAATAAATATTGTGCGATTAAATAGCGCGCGGGCTGACCAAAAAATCCCGCCCTCGTCCGCAGCGCGTCCTAGAGATAGTATATATATATATATATTATTCTTTGATATTTATAAATCGTGATATATCGATATTCAATATTTATCTTAATATCAAATTCATATTAAACTACAAAGTAAACTACAAATCATTCATATGTCTTTGTCGTGTTTTTTCGTCAGTAATACCATTTTGAGCCTTGTCGTACTAAATTATGAAAAACATTACGATATATCGATATTTATCATGTGAATATATCGATACTGTTTAAAATATCGATACGATATGTATTGGTATAGTTTTTCACTTCACCATCCCTACTCATCGCTATTGCCACATGAGTTAATAAACGGAATATTGCTAGCAGCTAGCCGGACATGCGACGGGGGCCTATGTGGCGATCGCCTTCCCGCGTCTGCTTCACCCCCTTAAAACGTACGTGAAGACGATACCATTTCGTCTTAACTCTCCCATTCTTAGCCCACATTCCACACCTTTCAAAGTTTGCACTTTGAAAGATGTTTTGCAAACTATCCATAAATAGGTTGAACAGCCACGTAGAAGCTACACCGCCCTGTCTGACACCTTTTTTTAGATGCCAAACCATTTTGAGTAGACCCGTTGATCCTGAAACAAGCACTAGAGTCCCTATTAAGAGACCTCAATGCATGTAGCAAACCAGTGCTCAATCCAAATGAGTTCGGTGTTTGCCATAACACAGTTTGTCCACTCTGCCATAAGTCTTTTCCAAGTCCATAAACGCACAAAAGACTTTCTGATTTTTGGCCGAAAACTTCTCCGCATTCATGTGCGTTGAAAATACTTGATCTGTACACCCCATTCCCTTTCTAAGTCCCGCTTGTACATCCCAATTTTTTCCATCGGTTTTTTCATAACTCTTTCAATTAAAACCTTAGCTACAGTTTACTGTTTAACTTATATTCGTTTGTGAAAATAGAGAGAAAAAAGACTTTTAATAAAAAGCAAAAGACGACTACTAAGACATAGTTTTTGGAAGTATTAGACCTAACTTTAAGATCTATTACGTGGAAATGATTTAATTACTTTTAGTATTTTCCAGCCGACTTTCGATTTGTTATTAAAAGTCTAATTTTTGACATTTTGAGTAGACTGATGAATATCACAAGCCCGAATTAAGTTAAATAGGTTTTCTATAATTTAACTAATCGTGCACGTGTTATACCATTTTGGAATTCTTATAAAATGCGACAACTTTAAAAATTCTTTACCGAACTCGTGTAGTAAATTTTTCAAAGTATTAATTTCGAATACTTGGTTAGGAAAAAAAAAATACTTTTCTTTCTCGAATGGAACAGTTGGCTAAAAATTTGAGTTTGATAAGAGTTATATTATTATTCAAATTTATATGGAACTACCCCAAAATTATAACCAATTCAATATAAAAAAATTATCATTAAAATGGGATTACAATTGCCGAAAATATAACGAAACATACTTAAAAAAACATACGTACAAATTGAAAATATTGTTTCTTTTTGAAGTCGGCTAAATATAGAAATTAAAAATTGATGCCAATTAAATCGTATCAAAAAATTTCGTATTAGTACGGATCGAATGCTTTGTACCAAAATGCAGTCTTAATAAAATACCATTTTTACTTTTGATGACGCCTCCCCTAGCCGATTTGGTGATTTTATATCATGTATTCACGATAGTTATCCTGTTTAGGGGGAGTATTACAAAAAATCGCGAAATTGCAAAGTTTCCTCGTTGAAATTATTTGTTTTCCGTTCGTTGCTTGAAGTAACAATTACTTTGTGAAAATAGTTCGTTTTCTCTATTAAAATAAGTTTAAGGGAAATTTTAGATAACTTAATTATTTATTCAGTAATAATCATTCTCCCGATGCATGTTTAGGCCAAAACTCTGAGAGACATGATTTGGGAGCTCTAATTTGTAGATTCTATTAAATATCTACCATCGAAAAAAATATTTTTACCTCACAAATATCCTATACTTTAATAATCATAAAATACATTCTCGTTAATTCAATTATCTACCGAAAAAGCTTCGATACGAAGCCCCAAATTGTTACATAATTTTGACGTAAAATTTATACCAAAATAATCATCAACAGTTGCTTAAACTTTACTATTATTTTTAATTTTAAATCGTTTTTTAATTCTCTAAATAAAAATACCATATATTTCACTG